CTGCCAACTAAATGTAAACTAAGACTTGCCGAGGGCGAGCAAAATTTGAGAGCTGCTTGTCCGAAGGGCAAGCTAGAATTTAAGTTTTTTCCGAGCCCTGGGTTCGCAACTTTTCCCGCGCTTTTTGCCCAGGCTTTCCATCGGCTGCAGGGTTCAACTGGATTGTGAGCTCTGATTGGCTGCTTGCCATTTCTGGGTACGTTATGATTGGCTAAATGTGATCTTGGTTTCAGTACATTCATAAGAGAACATTTCTACTTAGTGTTTAAACGTATTGATAGATACTGGAAATAGTAGATTTAACAAATAGATTCCATGTTGCCGCACGTGTGTTCAGTAATTGATCACAGACGACGTCAAAATGTAGAAGGAACAAATAAAAACGTGGTACACGATGCGATAGCCGAGTGTGTCACCGATGATCTTACCACATTTTGACGTCTTCCGAACTCATTCGAACTCAGTCCACGGATTGAGTCCCATTGAGTTCGATTTCCGAACGTTCGTTTGACTATACTGGGCCTTCATGCGGAGAGGCCATTTTTAACTGTGTAATGAAATTTATAACTGAAAGTATCATAAGCTGAAACGTTGAAAGTAAAAAGCCATTTACCAAGGCCTCCAGGTGCGTCAGACTTAGGGGGAGGGAGTCCAGTTGCTTTCATAATGATGACGTGTAAATGACCAGCCGTAGGCTGCTGACACAACGATAGCGTCAACGAACCTCGGTCATCTGACTGAAACAAACAAATAAGAACATAACGAAATGGAACAAGGGTGACAAGAGGCTCTTATCCAAACGCGTGCAATAACCTGGGTCCTATTGGTCTTAAGCTGGTGGTGGAATATTAAAAAAGGTCTTAGCATTACCAGTCTAAGTCATTCATTGTATTGTGATACAACTTCTGAGACCAGGGACCCCAATCATCTTACAGAATTGAATAAAACAATAAATAAAAATTCCAGAATTCTTTGTTTGAGAAAACAAGTTTTCAGCGGAATGCTGCGTTTAAACTTAGAAATAAAATGAAATCCGCTGCTCCGCTTTGTAATTCACGACTGTTTTTCAAACTCTTTCCATGGCAACAGTGGTCGCACTGCAAGTGAGGAAAAGGGAAACTCGCATGTCCGTCAAACCTGCTATGGTACAGAACTACATATTTGTGATGAGAAATATGATATAACCAGTCACTGCAATCAAGCTACAATCTTGGGAAAAATAAATGAAAAATGAAGACCAACCCTTCCCCCATCTCAATGATGGAAAAAAGTAGCGCGTTTTGGTTGTAGCGCGAAGAGATCATTGATTCGTGGGGAGGGGTGGTTTTATTTCTTATTTTATTCTGTCCAAGATCGTAGGCTCGACTTCCGCCACCCTCTCAGGTCCAGCCCCGAAGATTCTCCGAGGAGCGCGGGCTCCTTTCCCGAACAGCGGCTGGTAATCGAGCCTGCTAACAAGCGTGACAGGGTATTTTGCGTTACACAATATACTTACCTCAGAGATTGTTTTGGAGTTCAAGTGGAGTGACATTGTTGTTCCTTCTGCCAAGTCTACATCGAGAAGTGACAACATTACCTCGGCAATAAACTCACTCCGCGAAAACTTGTCATAGTCAAGGACCACAAACTTTAGGGTAGAACTACGGAACATGAAATTACACAATGATAATTTTAAAATTGCAGGTGAAGTCGCTGTACTAAATTTCAAAAAAAAAAAAAAAAAAGGACAAAGAAAGGAAAAATTTCTACCAAAGTTAAAAACAAGATTCTCTCTTCTTTCAGTTACCCTGGAAAAATATCGGAATATTTAAATCAAGGAACGAACGTTTGTTTTCAGATATCGTTTTTCGTGACAGGAGAAGAAAAAAGAAAGAAAGAGAACCTCTGGGACCAGCAAAGGGTAGGATTTGGCAAACACAAGTGTTAAACAATAGATTCCTATACAGACGCTCTGATGGCTCGTCACGTAGTCTCCCCCCACCCCATTGCCAATGGTCAGAGGAAAGATTGTGTGACGAGTCCAAAGGGCGTCTGCCTGGGAGAGAGCTAGCGCGTTTTCGTTCAGCGACGGCCAAGCGTGAGATGCTCTGGACAAAACCAGAAAATTCCGGTTTCGGTTTTATTGTGTGCATCTGTTCAAGTTTAATAAAGTACATGTGTAGAAAGAGTTGTAGCTAATGCTAGCTCACGTTCCAGTTTCTCCCAGAGGCCTCGACTTCTTGGGGCTGACAAAAAATAAGTGACATCCTCTGGGAGACAAGATTGGAGAAACTGGAGCCAAGCAAGAAAGGAAGCCTCGACCGAACCCGACATAAAATTATTTTTCGGATTTAATCTGAGAAAGAATATCTTACCTTTGTGCTTCTTCTAAAGTGATTTGATCGAACATGCAAATCCGGTTTGTTCCAAGATTCAAGAAGTTGGACCTGGTGTCCTTGTGCCGTTGCCCTGGTAACAAATGTACACGGACGTACGGGGTGGAGATCCCGGATAGACGCACTTGAGGCAAATCAAAAGCGCCATTCACCTGCAAAAATGTTAATAACAATTGTTGTTCTGTCCTTTTATTTCCCTGATATCCCTAAAGAATTTACAGAATCACTGTAACGTCAACATTGAGAACAGGGTGTGGGAAGTAGCGGGGGTGGGGAGGGGGATCGGTGGTTAGAGAGGAGGCAAGAAACTCTGTGAGCCGTGAGGAGCTGTTTTTCAATTAGCCTTGTCTCTTCTGTAAGGGTCTTCTCTTTGACGAAGCAATGATTTCTTAAATTGAAAACGAAAGAGCTGTACTTTTTTCTAGGAGTCAGGAAGGAAGGGCCTTGTGAGAGGTAGCCTCCTACGAAGGCGCTCTTTGGGCTACCCCAAGAACGTGGGGGAGGAAGATTACATGACGAGCACAAAGAGCGTCTGCGTAGGAGACTAGGTGAGAGGAGAAGTAAGATTTTAATCCCTCCAGCCGCCCCCCTTCCCCCCCGCCCGCAACAACTTCTACCATCCAAAAAGAACACGCTTCAGTCAGACTACGAGTAGTCCCTCTTTCGCTTGGTCCGTTCGTGACGCGTACTACTAAGAAAACCGTCACGCACGACGGACTGAGAGAGAGAGAGAGACTACTCGTAGTCTAGCTGCTGAGTGTGCTTTTGAGGAACGACTCCGACTGTGCAAACAGGATCATATCTACTCTGGTCTTGTTGACCTTGAGGGAACAAACATTTCGTTTTTGGCAAGGATCAAATACTGTGCAAGGGTCAAACTCACAATATTTAAACTAAAAATAAATTTTTACAGCGCATAAAAAATTAAAATGAATAAATAAAACTGAGAAGGATTAACATTGTTTCAAAATGGATCCTCCAATGTACCGTAGCGTATTTCTTTACTACTCGGTTTGAAAGTGGTTATCAAACTTCTAAACGATGAAAAATAAAATAAATAAGCATGTAAACTCACCTGAACGATCAGCAAATTTTTGGCAGTCACAAATTGTAACGAGAGTTCCAGCTTTCCATATGGTGCAGCCGACACCTTCCTTGCCGACTCCCTCTTCATTTGAACAGATTGAGGAACGAATTGAGATACAGCTCTCCTATACTGAGGTCGAAACTCCTTTGTTGAAATCCCTGCTGTCCCTGATTCGCCTTCCTCACAACGAGAAACTCCTTGCTTATTTCCCATTGGACCCGATGGCATCGAGAGAGCTCGTCTGAACGAAGGAGGGGAGAGCTTTGCTGTATCCTCTTCAATATTTTCACCATATTCACTCATAGTTTCACCTCCATCGCTTTCTTCCGTAATCAAAGTGTACGGAGGGATGACGAATCCCGGTGGCTCTTTTGAAGTGATGCAGGTTCCAAGCTTCCGAGATGGTTTTGGACCGTTCAGCGTCTTCAGATATCGTCGGAGGAAAACAATTCCCACAATAGCAAGAGTAAGGAGGAAAACTAAAATCCCTAACCCAATGGACGCACCGATAAACGGCGGAGAATTCATATCTCCCGCCCTCAGTGGCTTGTCCGTTGGAAAGAAATATGCAAGTCACTTGCGCGAAATTTGCAAGGCTAGCTGCTTCCTATACTGGTGGAAAATATCCAAAAAAACATCCACAAAATTCCAGCTTAACGGTGATATAAATCTACAGCTTTCCACCACAAAGACCTTCTTGGTTCGCTTCATCTGTTTGAATTGAAACGACGAGCCATTTTGAACTGTAACGCAAATCTCCAGTGTGACTTCTTTTTAACCAAAATCGTCGATTTTCTTGAGTTTCTTGCCTCGTAAAAATTACACCAGCCGCGAAACTAGTCGGTAAATCAGTAAATCCGAAGTATAAATTGCTTCCGCCGCGCCTAGTCAGGGAAAAAACGGTTTTCTCGGTTCCCGCTCAAAGTGTCTTCACCCGATTGCCCTAAATATCTGAAACACGAAGCTTCATGTTCCGTTTTCATGTTTAACGAGACATCACTCACACTTCCGGTGTAACGCAGTTCAGTCACGCAAAAACGGTTTCGACTGATACTGACTGGTAGATGAGAAAAAAGAAGGAAAAAATAAATAAACAAATAATGTATTAGTAATTAATAAAAATTCATAATAAGGGGATGAATTCAGACGCGTGGCTGTTTCATCGGAGCACTTAAAAAAAAACACGCTAAAATTTTAGGTAGCGTGACTCTCGGGATAAAGCTCGTGAAACTTTATCTCTGTTGTATTGACTTTTGGGTTTCTGGCTCAATATCAGAGCAAATCAAACCTGATCTTTTATTCCTTAAAGTAAATGAAAATAGTGTCATTGCCAGAGTTCAATAGAAGGAAATACTGCAAGGATTGACAGTCTCTACAATATCCCAGAGAATATGCAGTGCTAACAGCCACTAACAGCCACCTCTCTGCAACGGCCACCTTTCTATAGAGGCCACTTTTTTTGTCCCGCAGACAGCCCATACATTTACTCTTATTTTAATCTCTCTACAACGGCAACGACAACTTAAATGCGTCTCAACTGCTAAAATAACATCTTGACAAAGGCCAGCTAATCAACGACTGACGAACGGGGTATATTAAACCCCAATTTTCTTTTTTAGAGGTCACGAAACTTGAGCGGTACTGCGTTTCTTTAGTGTCAGTTTCTGTTTAGACCCTGTTTGGTTTCTGTTTTATTGATATATATTTTGATTGTGCTACATACTTATCTGATGCTACAGTCAGCCTTTTTTAAGGACAAAAATGTTGCAACCCCGAAAAATGGCAGGTGTCATCTTATACCCCTAACTCCCCATAACGGCCATGGACACCTCTCTACAACAGCCACTTTCCTCTATCCCCAAGGTGGCTGTTGCGACAGTGTATTGTATAGAGGTTCTACTTTAGATCACCACAGTCCTGCCTGGGCTTAAAAACAAGCTGCAAGCTGCTCCCAAGATTATGATCTTCTGATTCCCCTCGTCTGTGACGCAGACATTTCAATTTTTTCTGTAGTGACTTCTGAACAATCACCCTACAAAAGAAACGTTAACTTTGAAAAGTGTTTTCCGGCTCTCCCTACTCCCTTATCTACCGGCACTTTTCGAAATATTGTGTTAAATATACGATGTTGTGTCAGCCTTGCAGTAGTCTTTGACTTTCCATCGTTCGACTTTTCAAGTTTGGCTGATTAGATCTCGTGTGATATCCGGCTTTGTTACTTTCTACTAGTTTCCACTCCTCGCGCTTTTTTGCACTCGACGCTTTAACAAGACCTGTAGGCTCGATTTCAGGTGTCCGGTAGCCCGCGTTGCAGCCGGACGTGTCTTAAAATCCCCGATACAGTACAGCACAGTACTATACCGGCGGTTTAGACTGTCTGCGACGCAGGCTAGTGTCCGGTCGCGTTCGCCCCAAGCAGGAGTTCCCAGGAGTATTTGGGGTAAGCGCGGGCTCATTTCCCGACGCAGCGGCTGATAACCGAGCCTACGACCATCATTACACATATTGATATGACATCGGCAAAGAGAGCCATTTTAAGAACGTGCGTTCCTTTATGATACTAACTTTGATGCGTTGAATAATTACATCAACATGTCTTCCTCAATGGGCCCAATATGCGAGACACCATCCCTGGTCTTACAAATGGTGCCCCTATATGGGCATAAGTGGAACACGTCGTGATCATCTCGCGCGCACGAATGCTGGGAAGCGTGCTTAACGAGATTAGGAACTATTTATACCGCTAATTAGCAGAAATTAACTACTGTGTTATGATAGCCATGAATTAGGGACTTCGATGGCAAAGCGAAACACTGTATAGCTAAATGTATTGAACACCCTAGTGTCCTCTTTCAAGTTTTATTTTCATCTTATCCACACAATAAAATATCAATTCTTGAAGTGTAGAGTGAAAAGTGTCGTTCTGATCCCAGCATCACGTGTTTCGCATTCCCTGCAATTGGAGCTCAGTGCTAAAACGGAAACAGGTCGAACAACATATACGGATGGTCACGTAATGATAAGAAGCGCAATTAGCAACTGGGAATGCAGAACTCTTCAAGCATTGATGGAGGCAATGGCATTCCTATAGTGTACGTTGTATTCTGAGTGACAATTTCCTTAACTAAGGGGCAGCATTTTACCGAGATTCAAGACTGGGAAATATTAAGACTGGCTCTCTGAATAGGATCTATAAGATTATAAAGAGCACTAGGGCGCTAAATTCCCGCCAAAGGTCATAGCCTGACAAGCACAGAACAATACATCGGTACACCTTTTATAAACGTCTACGGAGAGAACCAGATATGGTACAGAAAGAGTATTTTTGACATCAGCTAGCCTGGTTAGAAGCCTCTCGATGGAGTGAAACTTCAAAATGCAAGGTACGTGACATACGCTTTCTATTTCTCCCACAGAAGGAAATTTGTCACCTGTGGTTTGATGACGATGGGGACAAATTGTAACTTGAAGTCGCGCAATTTGTATCTTCGGCTTAAAATTTTGTGAAAATCTTTGCACTTGATTCAAAGCTTTAGCCTTAAGCTGCACTATGTGTTGCCTGATTGTTAGCTTTCTTTGAAAATCACTAGTTAGGGCTGTGAAAATTATCACTGTTCTGCACGTAAGCGACTCCCCCCATAAGGAAACCATTTTAATATTTCCTCATTTTCTTTTAATAAGCGCTGCCTGGATGGTACAACGTCACGGATCTAGCAAGTATCGCAGAAAAACGACTCAAGCATAATTGTTTCATTGTTAGAGAAAGAATAGAAATAGTTCTCACATTTATTTGCAATTTTGATTTCGTGGGGACGGAAATCCCAAACTCCGATGGGACAGCTCAGTAAGCTTACTTTGACGTCATCGTGAATGTTATGTTTTATAAGTGCGGCATATTTTACATTTTAAATGCTCAATTAAGCAAAATGTCGTGCGAAACCTGTCAGAATTCAAGGTGAAATGAAAGTTTTTTCTTGATAGATAGAGAGAAATTTGAATTATTACTAAAGGCATGTCGTTGTGAGTCCATAATCTACAGACATACATTCTGCAGTCGTATAGTGTTACTCTGAAGAAGCCAGTCAAGTGTTTACGTTGAGATTTCATTTAAACCAATGAAATGTCAACACGCTAGTTCTTGTTAACATGACAACGAAAAAGAGCCTGAGGAATTTCCTCGTTCTATTTTATTTGACATCTTGTCGATCTTTTTAAAAACAAAATACGTGTATTTAAAGGACGAGGAAGTACAGAGAACCACGTTTCAGCACATCGTATCATAT